TAAATAAAAAATTTTATAAGTATAAAAAATTCTTTTTTTAAAAACTTTATTAAATAATTTTTTAAAAATTTTATTGATATTTTAAAATGCCTCCTGAAAATACAAAACCTGTTCCTCAACATATTCTTGATGCTAATCCTGCTCCTAAAAATCCTGAAAATGAAACACCATATGAAAAAACAAATCGATTAGCACGTATTCAATATGCTACTAATAAATATTATGAATTAAATTCACATTTAATTCAAGAAGAATCTCAAGCAAGTTCTTCTACTGAATTACAAACTCAATCAAGCAAACTTAGAACACAAAAATATCGAGTTTTACGAACTTCTGCACAAAATTTAAAATAAATAAAAAACAAAAAAAAAGAATACAAACAATTCGACAACAACAAATTGAACAATTTTATAAAATTGGTCAATGTGAACTTGAAAATTATAATGAAAATAAGATTAAAGGTGATAATATTGAAGCTGAACATCAAACAATTAAAATAATGAATATAATTTGTAATTATTGTCATGCATTAAAATAGAAAAATGAATCAAAGTTATTTTGTTATATAAATAGTCAAGTTAAAATTGCATTACTTACATCTGCTCCAAATATGCTTTATAATTTACTAACAACAAATAATCCTAATACTAATAGATTATTTGTAGAACAAATTTGAACATATAATTCAGTATTTACATTTATTTCTTTAGAAGTAAATCTTAATGAAACATTAGCAAATGCAAAGAAAGATGTTTATATATTTAGAATACAAGGAGCTTTATATCATAAAATTAGTTTCTTAATATCTAAAGAAATTAAAAAAAGACATGATCCAAATTTTGTACAAATTTATTTTTATGATTCAAGTTTGGATAATCAAGTAACAAGACAAATGGAATTAATATCAACATTAAATGAAAATATGATTCAAGCAATTCAAAATGAATTATATGAAATCAATCCATTTGCTAATGTATTTTATCAAACAGGATTTGAAGCAGATAATTATCCTGATTTAACATTAACAATTCATAGTACTCATAGAAAGGATATGAGACAATACAATCAACCAACAGTACCAGAAATTGTAGTAATTATTCTAGAAAATTATAAAAATACTGTAATTCAAAAAAGAGATATTTTACTTAAAACACATACAGGAAAGTTACAAAAAATCTCTAAACTACATGATGCTTATGATTCATTGCAATATCCTTTATTATTTCCTTATAGTAAATATGAATGGCATGATAATATTTTAAGAACTAATGAAATTATAACTACATCAGATAATGAACAATCTGATAATGAATTGAATGAATTTGATAATGAAGAATTTGATCCTAATCAAATTTCAATTATCGAGCAACAAGTATTGCTGAAAGTACTGGTGCAACAGAAGTATTTAAAATTTTATTAGTTAGATCTGCCTCAAGTAATGATATAAACTGGTTAGGTCATAATCAGGTAACCAAACTGAACTGAAAAAATCAGGTAACTAGTTAAGCAAATGTTTAACCAGTTAATCTGGTTATTTGGTTGACCCAATATAATCAGCTGTCTGATATAATCGGCTGACTCAGTATAATCAGTTGACCCAATATAATTGGTTGACACAATATAATGGGCTAACCCGATATAATTAGCTGACCTGATATAATTAGTTGATCTGATATAATCAGTTGACCTGATATAATCGGTTGACCTGATATAATTGGTTAACTGAAATAATTGGTTGACATCAATTTTTGTGGCTTAGATATATAATGATTTTTTTTATTTTTTTAATTCGTGAATAAAAAAGTGATCATGATCTATATTTCTATATTGTAGGTCTTTATATTAGAAGCTTTGGGTTTAATCGTTCTAAAAAAAATTTTTACTGAGATTTATATTTCAAAGCTCCTTTTTTGTTTAAAATGATAAGTATACATTTATTTAGAAGTCAACTAAGAAATGTTTCTCATGCAATTTTACTTTAAACCCTCTCCTAACCCAAACCCTAACCTAGTTACATTTTTTTTTTATACATATGAGAGTTAGAAAACATATTAATGAAATTATCATTTCTTTTTAGAAATAGCATTCGAGAGACTAATTTGGGTTTTAAATTTGAACGTTGAGAGGTAATGTGATTTCCAGCATCAGAAAAAATGCACTTGCTAAGTGCAGAAGTAGCAGAGACACTGAGATATTTTCTGGCTAGTTTTGAAAAGGTTGGAAATTGAGATTGTTGCTGTTACCACCATAAGAGGAGATCTTTTTCAGAAAAGGCTAATGGTGTTTGCCTTAAGTCAAGATAAGAATCCAATTCATCTGTAAATTCATTTGATCTTTGAGCACTACCAAATATAAGCTCCTTAAACATATTATTAGATGAGAGGTTTTTTGAGCTAGATGAAGTAATGTTTTTATTTGATGTTAATGATTGTATATTCATTAGTTGGTGAAGTTAAAGTTTACATTCATTAATGGTATTATTACAAGTTTCTGCATTAGCAAAAGACATTTCTTTCAGCCAGGGGTCTAAAAATGTTGCGAGAAGGCAAATTTGCGATGGGCGATCCCAATATTCAAAAAGTAAGTTATATATGATATTTGTTATGTCTTTTACAATTAATTCAGTGTCATTTTTAGTCTGATTTTCTTGAATATCAAAGGATATGTCGCTTTTATTTTCATCATCTGACGACTTAGACTCCAAATCAAAATTAGATGTTTCTTGGAGAACTAAAGTAATTAATATTAAATGTACAGTACTCAATAAGTATTTATTAGAAAGAAAAAATATTTGCATTATAAACTCTTTCCGTAAATCCTTTTTACACAAAAATAATTAAAAATCCGTCAGTACTAAAATCGTCAATACCTGGTTAT